GTCTTCGAAATTAAGAATATCTCTTAAAAAATTCTTAAATAAAAACTTTATATAAATATAATCTATTTAAAAAATTAAATAATGATCAGGTTTTTTTAAATATACTTTTATGTGTTGCTACATGTATAATCTACACTTAAAAAATTTGTCGCAAAATAGATATTTAAGGGTGACATGATCAATGCTTTGACAGCGAAATAATAATTATTTTTTTCAATGTAGTTCTTAACAAACGACTCGAAGAAAGCGCGCGCGATTTCTAAGTCACCCTGTATATTGCTACGGACGAGGGGATGGAGGAGCAAAGCTTGGTTCGCGCAACTGCGGTCGGACAAGTGTGATAAGGCAATCCTCCGTTGGATAGAGGTCTCTCAGCGAGCGATACGTACAACTATCGAAGGGCAGCTCGCGAGGAACGCGGGCTCGCGCTTCGATGTCATCGTGACGATCCCGACAGGAAGTCGATTCGCGACCGGAAATTAGCCCCGTTCGCGTCCCGCCCGTCCCGTTCTGCGGTTGTCACAAGAGAAGGGTCGTGGGAAGTGAGCAGGTAGCATTCGGAACACAGGAGAAAAAAGAAAGAGAGGGGAAGTGAGAGATAACGCAAAGAGAAAGAACGAGAGAGAACGAGAGAAGTAGTCAGGTGGTGGTGGAGGAGAGAGAAAGAGAGACAGAGAAGGATCACGTACAGGCGCGAAAAGGGGAGTGGCGGGATAGGGGGTGAGAAAGAGACGGAGAGCTTACCACCAGTGGTACCGAGCGCGAATACTACTCCGCGAGTCGACGTGGCTGCGAGACAGCCCCTCGTTGCGAGAGGAGAGGAGAGAAGAAGAATATAAACGCATTCACGGGTCGCATTCCGACGTCGCATCGAAGGGAGGGGGTGAAAGGATATCGCGCGGAAGTGAAACGTTTGTAAGCCGGCGACGCGACGCGACGCGACGCGACGCGACGCAGCGCAGCGCAGTGCAACGCAGGGCAGCACAACGCAGGACAATACAACGCAACGCAACGCAACGCAAACGCATCGCAACGGCGGCGTCGCGACGCGACGCGGGGTGGCCGCGAGTGCGCAAGCACCCTCTCCATCGCTTGCGTGACAAGTGTCCGACCGTTCCGCTCGCAAAGTTCCTCGCGGCTCGACGCGGAGCGTACCAAGCGAGTGCTGTGCCGGAGGAGTATACGCGTGGAATATCTAAGAGAAGATCCTGTGAGGCTCGAGATGGATGTTTAATTTTGTGACGACGAGTAGGCAGCAACCTCATCTACGAGGGCGTTCTCGCGTTGGTAACGACGGTGATGAAGATAATGAGCGTGACGTCAGCGATGATACCACGATCTTGGCGTCGATAGAGAAGCACCTTGGAGCGATAGACAACCCTCGACCCCTCGTCACATTGTCAGCTGGAGAAATGGTTGTCGTGGGTGTGTAACTGTCCGCTCGGGGACGATCGACTGCGTGGGCGTCGCGGCGGCCGTTAGAGGCGCGCCGAGAAGCGCCATTGTCGTATCGGCCGCCACGTGAATCGCAAGCGGACTTCTCCTCGGACGAGATCGAGGGATCGTGCGAAGATTGCACGGATCGGTATTCATCCGTCAAATGGACGTGCTCCGCTATTCATCGAGCATGTCCCTCGCAGGTACGGCGGGATCCAGTTAACGAAACGGTGATATACCCTAAGGGTCCACACAGTGGTTGGGATGACGCATTGCCTCGTCGCGGGTTCCAAAAGATAACGGAGCGGAGATATCCCGACAAACGTCGAGAAGCTACAGGAGACTTGAAGTATCAGCAGCAACAGCAACAGCAGCAGCAGCAGCAGCAGCAGCAGCAGCGACGACGGCGACGACAGTGTTCGACCGTGCGAAGATCGAGTCGCGCGAAAGTGGAGTCCTATTTATCAGCAGCGGCCCAGTGACCCGTTTTCGTTTTCAATCGATGCGGTACCAAAGAGTTTCAAAGGATCGGAAGGACAGAAGGGCGCAGCCATTATCTAGCAGTAGAGTCCAACCGATATCGTTCAAGTATCATTTCGTGCGGAATCGCACGTTGATTAGATCCACGATTAGGAAGTCGAGAAGCTACGGTAACCCGAACCCTGAGACTCTATTTATCTGTCTCGATAGCGGTGAACGGGCGAAGCGTGACGTCCGTGAGATCGAGGATCCGAGGGTGATATATTTCGCGTATCGTCCGATGGTGCATTCGGGCAGCGCAGCGCGTGAGGCCGGGCTGCAAGAGAGAATGCGAGAGCCTCCTCACAGCCTGTGAACATGATTTGTCATACACATGCGACGGGCAGTAATCGTACGACGAGAGACACCGACGACGACGACGACGACGAGGAGGAGGAGGACGACGAGGAGAAGGACGACACCCGACCACTCTGCGGCCATGCCACGAGCACGCTGTGCGCTCGCATGAGACCAGCCCGACTACTGCCCGATTGCCCTTCCACGTATCAGCAGCAACAGAAACAACAGCAGCAACTACTGCAAAGGCTGCGGCGAAAAAAGGGGAAAAAATTGATATCGCGTCATACATTGACCAGCGTAAAATCTAAGGACGTGATCTATCGCCATCCGTTATCGTTATCCCGCGTAAAGGAGGCCACATCGAAGTCATCGACCACGATCACGGAGGAGGTCCCGCTTGGTCTCGATTGGCGCGACCTGCGAGTGCAACGTACCGCGAGTACCGAACCGACGACGACGGTGCAACCGTCACGACGACGACGACGACGACGACGTAACCCCGGTGCGCTCGCGTTCCCGCGTCGGTGCGGTGCGGTGGTGCGGTCAACGGGTGTCGGATGACTTCCCCAGGTCGACAGACGTGTTATGTAGTCGTAGAAGGTTATTATATATTGTCTCGGTCATTATATCCAGTAACGAAAGCCGTCGTGGAAGAGGCGCATTTAGGGTGCAGCCCCATCGGAGCAACGTTAACGTCCCATCGACGTCGACGTCGTCGGTGGTGCGCCGGCCTGCCTATCCGCGTCATACCCACGTCGCATACCCCGTGTACGCGCGTATATCGCCAACACCGTGATGGCGGAGGCACTACCTCAGCCCGACATGTCGCACCTCACCCCCGAGGAGAGGCGCATTATAGAGGGTGTTTTAATGCGCCAAAAGGAGGAGGAGGAACAGGATCATGAGATTATGAGGTACGCGACTATAGACTATATGCTCATTATATTACATGTACTTTGCGAAAATTTTGCCTCAATGACGTATGGACACGTGGAAATTTTCCCTTTTTTCCCGAACTTCTTATAAAGGAATTTAAATAGAAATAATTATATGTGTGGTGTCTTTCACATATTAAGTTGTAATTTATTTGTACAGCAGCACATTGAAAAATAATACTGAATATCCGCAGAATATAAACTAATAGTAACATTGTATTAATCAATTAACTAATTAGAATCAAATAAATAATAAGATTAATCAAATAAATAACAGAAAAAGGGGTTACGAGCTAAGCGAGTTGTTCAATGTTAAATATTAGAAAATTGAATCTTTGTATGAACATCAAACACAAACGTTTTAATCTGTATCGGGTCATTCTCAATATGAAAAATTTAAATTAAAAGATTTATATAGAACGTAATGTTTATTAGTACATAATATTGATCATAAAATCGACAATTAAAACTGTATAATTATAAGCGTACAATAAAAAGTATTAATTCGCTCTTAGAAACACGTTCGCTCGTAATTTTTGTGGATAGTTAATAGCCGCGCAATCATACTTCGAAAAAGATTGTCAAATTGTGATATAAAATTAATAAAATTCGCAGACAATGATAAAAATTGCTTGGCTTATAGCATTGTATTAATATTGTAATGTCCTATTCTCTCCAATGTAAGTTATGTATAACATGTATTATATTTATATTGTTGGATAGAAAATTATAATATTAATATAATTTTACTGTTAGTTGTGTTTTGTGAATAGTTTTGCAAATAGAATTGTGACATGAAGTCTATTGCGTATCTATTCCGACATAATATACGAGTATTGTTATACTAAATGTATTATAAGCAAAAAAGAAAAACACATAAGAAGTCAACAAGTTAATTGATAACGTATAATCTCAAGATATGAAAAAGATAAAGGTAATACAATGTACACAATAATAATAATTTTATTCATTTAATAATATTTAAAATGTTGAATCTGAGAGAAAATGAAAATTACTAACATTAAGCAATAATCAATAAGTAATCAATAATAAATAATTAATAAGTAATTATATTATTTAACTGAATAGTGTACTTAAACTCAATAATTGACATAGCGTCTTCCCTCATTTATGTCATTTAGTAAAACATTAAATAACGAACTCGAAATATCATTATAAACACGATACTAAAAACTTTTTTTGCTCTTTCCAGTAGTAGTTAGGTACAATATCACATCTTAAAGCGAGAATGTACATTGAGGTTTTTTATTGCTGCCATATAAGCGTGGCTCGTGCGTTGGATTCGAAACTATCGATGAAGTATTGTTTCACACAAGCAGGACGCGCGAGCTTTCACACGGGTATTTAGGACTCTCTATTGCACCGGATATTGCCAGGCTGGTCAAATGCCTGTAATAACATTCACGTACCGTGATGCATGTGGTCGGTATTGTCCGTCGCGCTTTCGGTAATTGCGACCATTTTTATTTCCATTGCCGCAAATAAAACCGTGAAACTGCATAACGCCAGATGAACACTATTGAGAGTGCCGATATTTTACTGGAGTAAAAACTTGATATCAGCGTTGGTGGGACACTTAAGCGGATATACGCAAATATCTTTCGATTTCACGATTCCTAAATTTACAAGAAGTTATTTGTTTCCAACATAACTTCAATATGTTGGAAATATATTTATTAGGTGTTGGAATTAATTCGTAGCGTTTTTTAATGAAAGAATGTTATTTATTTCACATGAGCATTAAAAAATACATTAATGAAAGTATTTCCCATCACTTGTAAAACGCTACGAATTAATTCCAACACCTAATAGTTTTTTAAAATAATTTCAAACTTAGATAACTTTGGATATTTGAATAAAGATTAAAAAATTATAATTAATAGGTATTTTTATTAAGTTCTGTATTTATTCGTAATTTACTCGAATTTATTAATGCATTTAAAAGTGTGCATTACAAAGAGGGTAACAACTTTAATTGTAATATAACGAATATCTATTTTAACGTTATTGGATCAGTGATAACCGCCAAGGTCATGCCTCGACTAAGTTTAGAAGTTATCGGAATTAGTAGATAAAAGATATTAATGATCAAACCAGCGCAAAAGTTAGTGCAGAAGGTTAGTGCGCGAAAAAAAAAAAAACTAAAAAGTGAGACATCGTTTAGTTGGTTTTTACCGCAATTGGCAGACACGGACGAAACGACAACCGATCGATTGGCTAAAGGTATTTCTTGACCAACGGGTCTGCTCCGGATCGTTTCACCTATTTTCCCGGCTCACCTGCTCGTTAGTCCTTGACCGCTTTACACCTACATCTTCCATTTATGTATCCATGGCCCCGCACATGCTCCCGATTACCGCGTCGACTCTCATCTCTTTTGTATCAAGCAGTCAGAAATAAAAATCGCTTATAATTGTCTTCGACGTCTGCAAATATTCTCGCCCTTGTACCGCCTTTGCGGCAAGGTTCTGCGTCTCAGGTGACTCGTGCATCGTGTGATCGACTCGTCGAAACGTGTCGGATGTAATGTGGACGTACATACGATCGATTGAGATCGGCCTCGCCGTATCGTGATGATAAAAATAAGACCGATCTGTGCTTCGCTTATCATAGGAGACGACGACTGGACTGGCGCGGCGACGGCGGTGTGCGTAATTGCGCGAACGGAGATCGGCGTTCTACCCATGGTGGCTAACAATAACTGTAAAAGAGGAGGAAAGAGAGAGAGAGGGAGAGAGAGGGGGGGGACCGGGCGTTGCGCAGTGAACAGGTTTTATTGATAGGTCGTCGCGACTGAGCGAAAAACGGGAACGTGAGA